CGGGACTCGATCCCAGGACTCCGGGATCATGACCTGAGCCGAAGGCAGTCGCTTAACCAACTGAGCCACCCAGGCGCCCACTATGGGATAAGAATCTTGCTCTCCTGCTTCAATACTGTAGACATCTGTATCCCTTCATAAATCCCTTTCTGGGTCAATTAGCTAGAATTGATTCCATTATAAAAAGTAAGAAACCTGGACTGCAAGGTTGGTTCAACATCCTCAAATCAATCAATGTGATACACTACATTAATAAAAGAAAGGACAAGAACCATATGATACTCTAAATAGATGCAGAAAAAGCATTTGACAAAGTACAGCATCCTTTCTTGATTAAAACTCTTCACAGGGTAGGGACAGAGGATACAAACCTCAATATCATAAAAAGTCATCTATGAAAAACCCACAGCAAGTATTATTCTCAATGGGGAAAAACTGAGAGCTTTTCCCCTAAGGTCAGGAACATGGCAGAGATGTCCGCTATCACAACTATGTTCAACATAGTACTAGAAGTCCTAGCTTCAGCAATCAGACAACAAAAAGAAATAAGAGGCATTAAAATTGGCAAAGAAGTAGTCAAACTCTCACTGTTTGCAGATGATATGATACTTTATATGGAAAACCCAAAAGACCCCACCCCAAAACTGCTAGAACTCATACAGGAATTCAGTAAAGTGACAGGATATAAAAATCAATGCACAGAAATCAGTGGCATTCCTATACACCAACAACAAGACAGAAGTAAGAGAAATTAAGGAGTCAATCCCATTTACAATTGCACCCAAAACTGTAAGATACCTAGGAATAAATATAACCAAAGATGTAAAGGATCTATACTCAGAAAACTATAGAATACTCATGAAAGAAATTGAGGAAGACAGGGGCACCTGGGTGGCTCAGTCATTAAGTGGCTGCCTTCGGTTCAGGTCATGATCCCAGGGTCCTGGGATCGAGCCCCGCATCAGGTTCCCTGCTCAGCCAGGAGCCTGCTTCTCCCTCTTCTGCTCCCCCTGCTTGTGTTCTCTCTCTCACTGTCTCTCTCTCTGTCAAATAAATAAGTAAAATCTTAAAATAAAAAAAAAAAAAAATTGAGGAAGACACAAAGAAATGGAAAAAACATTCCATGCTCATGGATTGGAAGAACAAATATTGTTAAAATGTCTATGCTATCTAGAGCAATCTACACATTTAATGGAATCCCTATCAAAACACCATCAACTTTTTTCACAGAACTGGAACAAATAATCCTAAAATTTGTATGGAACCAGAAGAGACCCCGAATAGCCAGAGGAATGTTGAAAAAGAAAACCAAAGCTGGAAGCATCACAATTCCAGATGTCAAGCTCTATTACAAATCTGTAATCATCAAGACAGTATGACACCGGCGCAAAAACAGACACATAGATCAATGGAACAGAATAGAGAGCCCAGAAATGGACCCTCAATCTAGGGTCAACTAATCTTCAACAAAGCAGGAAAAAATGTCCAATGGAAAAAAAGACAGTCTCTTCAACACATGGTGTTAGGAAAATTGGACAGCCACATGCAGAAAAATGAAACTGGACCATTTCCTTACACCATACACAAAAATAGAGTCAAAATGGATGAAAGACCTAAATGTGAGATAGGAATCCATCAAAATCCTTGATGAGAACACAGGCAGCAACCTCTTCGACCTCGGCTGCAGCAACTTCTTCCTAGACACATTGCCAAAGGCAAGAGAAACAAAGGCAAAAAAGAACTACTGGGACTTCAACAAGATAAAAAGCTTTTGCACAGCAAAGGGAACAGTAAACAAAACCAAAAGACAACTGATGGGATGGGAGAAGATAGTGGCAAATGACATATCAAATAAAGGGCTAGTATCCAAAATCTATAAAGAACTTATCAAACTCAACACCCAAAGAACAAATAATCCAATCAAGAAATGGGCAGAAGACAGGAACAGACATTTCTGCAAAGAAGACATCCAAGTGGCCAACAGACACATGACAACATCACTTGGCATCAGGGAAATACAAATCAAAACCATAATGAGATACCACCTCACACCAGTCAGAATGACTAAAATTAACAAGTCAGGAAACGACAGATGTTGGCAAGGATGCACAGAAAGGGGAATTCTCCTACATGATTGGCGGGAATGCAAGCTGGTGCAGCCACTCTGGAAAACAGTACGGAGGTTCCTCAAAAAGCTAAAAATAGAGGGCACCTGGGTGGCTCAATTGGTTAAGCGACTGCCTTTGGCTCAGGTCATGATCCCAGAGTACTGGGATCGGGTCCCACATCAGGCTCCCAGCTCAGCGGGGAGCCTGCTTCTCCCTCTGACCCTCTCCCCTCTCATGCTGTTTCTCTCTCGCTAGCTAATAAATAAATAAATAAAATTAAAAAAAAAAAAAAAGCTAAAAATAGAGCTACCCGATGACCCAGCAATTGCACTACTGGGTATTTACCCCAAAGATACAAATGTAGTAATCCGAAGGGGCATGTGCCCCCCAATATTTATAGCAGCAATGTCCATAATAGCCAAACTATGGCAAGAGTCTGGATGTCCACTGACAGGTGAATGGATAAAGAAGATGTGGTATATATATACAATGGAATATTATGCAGCCATCAAAAAATGAAATCTTGTCATTTGCAACGACGTGACTGGAACTAGAGGGTATTACGCTAAGCGAAATAAGTCAATCAGAGAAAGACAATTATCATGTGATCTCACTGATATGTGGAATTTGAGAAACAAGGCAAAGGATCACAGGGGAAGAGAAGAAAAAATGAAACAAGATGAAACCAGAGAGAGAGACAAACCATAAGAGACTCTTAATCTCAGGAAACAAACTGAGGGTTGATGGAGTGGAGAGGGGTGAGAGGGATGGGGTGGCTGGGTGATGGACATTGGGGAGGGTATGTGCTATGGTGAGTGCTGTGAATTATGTAAGACTGATAAATCGCAGACCTGTACCCCTGAAACAAATAATACTTTATATGTTAATTTTTAAAAAAATTAAGAAACCTTTCATATATACAAATGGTAATCACTTATGAACTTTCTGAGTTCATAAATTTATGAACTAAGAAGCACCACATATTCAGAAAAATAGTTCTGAAGGTCTATAGGATCACGTAACACCCTGATATTTAATGCTTAAGAGGGAAGTAGGATTGACATGTATAGATAAAGAGGAGGTAATGGCAGGCTTTTCCTTTTTCCTCTGTATACTTCCTTTCTGTTTAAATATTTTTACAATGAGCAACAGTCCTACAATGCTGGAAATTTAATAATTTAAAATCTTCAAAAAATTAAAAATTAATATGCCCCTCCCAAAGGTGCCTGCCATACTAAATGATAATAGTAGTTTTATGGAATTTTAAGAAAGAACAACCTGAAAACATTCTGTGGTACATACACACAATTTCATGTATTCTAACTTGTATAACATACAAAATTCATCTTGCAATGGGGAAAGACTTTCTAACTGTGACCCCAGATATAGAAGGAAAGCATAGTAATTTTTAACTACATAAACAAAATTACTGAAACCTTAAACAAAGTTAAAAGATGAAAGACAAACCAGAAAAAAATGACCTGAAACACATATGATATGGCAAATAATAGATTAATATTTCCAGTATATAAGGAATTCTTAGAAATCAATAAAAATAGACATTTTAATTTAAAAATGGGCAGATAGGGGCCCCTGTGTGGCTCAGTCAGTTAAGCATCTGCCTTCAGCTCAGGTCATGATCCCACGGTCCTGGAACCAAGCCCCTCTTTGGGTTCCCTGCTCAGCTGGGAGTCTGCTTCTCCCTCTCCCTCTGCCCCTCCACCCGACCCATGCTTGTGTACACATGCTCTCTCTCTCAAATAAAAAAAAAATCTTTAAAAAAAAATTAAATAAAAATGGGCAAAGAGCATCAACAGGCGCAATTCACCCTCACATTCACATGCATACACTCAAATACACACACACACGGCAAAAAACTAAGATGTTCAAGCTCACTAGATTTTTTTTATCAAATAACTAAAATTTGGTAATATCTAGTATTGAAGAGGGTGTAGGGGAAAAAGACAGTCTCAGACACTATTGGTAGGATTCTAAATTGTTCCAAACTTTCAAAGGGCAACCTGGAATATACAATAAAATTTTAAACATGTATTCCATATACAAAGCAATTCTACATTTGGAAATGTATCTTTTTTTTAAAGATTTTTTATTTATTTATTGAGAGAGAGAGAGAATGATAGAGAGAGAGCATGAGAGGGAGGAGGGTCAGAGGGAGAAGCAGACTCCCTGCTGAGCAGGGAGCCTGATGTGGGACTCAATCCTGGGACTCCAGGATCATGACCTGAGCCGAAGGCAGTCACTTAACCAACTGAGCCACCCAGGCGCCCCTAGAAATGTATCTTATGCAAATAAATAGACAAATACACAAAAAAGGAGACATTCACTGTAGCACTGTTTATAAAAGAAAAAACTGGACAACCTAAAAATCCACATGAAAAATTAAATAAATGTTCAAAAACCCATAGTATTTCACAATATTGCAAAACCATCCAGCCATTGCAGATTCTTCTCTAATACCATGAAAAGATGTTCTAGATAGAGAATTAAGTGAAAAGGCCTGGAAACCAAGTAGCATGTTTCTATTTAGTGTTAAAATATAGATTCATTATATAAGTAAACACATAAATATATGCATACATATATATCTATAAAAACACTCACACACACACGCCTGACATACAGTACATATCTTAGAAAACAGGTCTGAAATACATACCAAAATGTTAACAGTGGCTAGTTCAGAATGATACAATCATAGGTGATTTTCACTTTCTTCTTTATATCTTTTGAATAGTCTGAACCGTTTACAAATGAATGTGTGGATTTTATGATAACAGTAAGAAATATTTTCATTCTTTAAACAAATAAAGAGCAATAAAAATGACCTTACTAAATACCTTGTGCTTTTACTACATATTACTATTTGCTTACCTTTAAACCTTCAGCTGGAAGTCTGTAACCAAATCTTGCTGGAAGGTCATCAAATGTCTGAGATGCATTTTCAAAATTATACTAAATATAAAATTAAAAACAATCAAGTTACACTCAATTTACACATAACATTAAAAACAAAATGTTTATTATTTACGTTGTCATTTCCACAATTCTGATCCACTATCACAGCTCAACACAAATCAACTTTGTAAATGTATATTCACTAAAATAGCAAGGAATATATACAATTTACTACATATACAACTGTTTAGATTCTGATTTCACATAATTATTATTAAACAGCAGCAATTCTATAACATTAAACCACTTACTGCTTTCTGAGTTTTTCCCACAATTCCCTAGCAAAGAATTTTCTAATCAGATTATTTTCCAGCAAGAGTTCCATTTGACTTTCTCTAAAGGGTCTGATTTAGTAGAAGAGATATACAGGATTTCTGGCCCTAGCTACAAAAGATGCCTTTCCCCAGACAAAGAAGAAGTATCAAATCATTTTTAAGAAATTGTCTTTTCTATATAATCTGGACATTTTCATCCACAGCTGAACAATGAAAGAAGGAACCTCAATATATCCATATAAAAAACTAAAGGCATTCAAACTCAACTTTCCCCTTCCTTATAGGTATAGATTCCTATGGTACAGGATTTATTAGTTCCCTACCAAAATAGAGCAAAACAAAGCAAGGGTTCTCTGTAATTGTAGAAGATAATATTAATGATAATTGTGAAATGAGTTTGTTGTATTATTTAAGAATGTTCAATCTGCTACATAGAAAAAAGAAACAAGGAAGACAGATGAAACTAAGCAAAGATAGTAAACAAGTAACTTCTGAAACACAGGCGAAGCTTACATGATGTATTAGAAGTGAAGATAGCAGGGGGCGGAGCAAGATGGCGGAGGAGTAGGAGACCTGGATTTCGTCTGGTCTCAGGAATTCAGCTGAATAGGGATCAAACCATTCTGAAC